TCATATTTTATTTTCACCAAATCAGTTTTTAGAGGAAATTATGCCTTGGAAAATTCAGTTATTAATGTTTTAGAATCTAGTGAGGTATTACATTCTTTTTCTTAAATATCTCTAGACTAACCCTTTGATTATTGAAGGATGTGAATTTTCAAATAATGAAGCGGATAAAAACACGATTTAGTTGATGTATGGGCATTATTCTTTCATTACCTCATGCATATTCTATAAAAATCTAGCAAAAGAGACATCAAAAAATATTTTCATCGGATATTCCAATCTTACTATTGAAAATACAATATTCACAGATGATACCTCGTACTTTTTCATTGATAAACTTAATTGATAGGAGTTACAGAAGATAGGTATCAAATGCATTGAACAGTAATTGTAGAGGCGGATTCATTTACGCTATAATGAGCAGTAATCTCACAGTTATAAGTTCCTAATTTAATTATGGATATACTTTATAAGGTGGATCAATATATCTCTCAGGAGGTAAATTATAATGAAATATCTTAATTTAGATTCAACTGCAAGCATCACTAGATGTTAATTCTACTAATGCTTTGCATATTATTCAGGCGGAGCAATCTATGCCTCTAATTTTAAAAAGCTCATTATATATGATTCCTATTTCTTTCAGAATGTTGCTCTGCAATAAGGAGGAGATCTTTATGCTTAAGATTCTACTTAATTTGTATCATTCAATAAATCATAAATAGACAATACTAAATCTGCAGGATCTATTTATTTATAAGAATCAGATTTCTATTCACACTCACTAAATATTTAGAGTAAATTAAAATATCGTTTAAAAAATAATAGGATCAATGAAAGTTGATAAAATACCTTCATTTGGAGGGTCAATCGTTTGCTTAGACTGTGGAAATTTCTATATTACAAACGCAACTATGAATAATTCAATAGCATAATCAGGCGGAATATTATATCTAGAACTTACTGAGCAAAGAAAGGAAAAATACACATCATAAAATGAGTATACAGTGAAGATTATTTAGTCAATGTTTGCAAATTCAAAATCTTTATCAGTTGGTGGAGCTATTCATCTCAATAATTAGTTTAGAGTTCTGTTTTAATCTAATACTTTAAATTATAACTATGCAATTACATATGGTGGTGGACTTTATATGGAATGTGTTTCTCCTTTTGATTGTAAATATAGTATGTAGGGTACTAATAAGTTCAAGAACAATTATGCTAATAGCTCAGGAGGTGCAATATACTGGGGAGATGTTTAGCCTATTTTACTTCCTGGCTCTAATTACTAATTTGAATCAAATAAAGCATTGATTTATGCAGATAACATTGGAAGTTATCCATAAAAACTAGTATCATTAACAAAAGAATAATATTAGGCATAATTACTAAGGGCTAATGCAAATTCAGCAGTTGCTAATAACAGAAGATTAAGAGATCTATAAGTTTTAAATAGTTCAACATCTTCTTCATAAGACTAATAAAGAAGTGGAAATACTTTGCCTACTATGTATATTGGACTTGCTGATGCTATGGGATAAATAGTTGGAACTGAAAGTAGTAAAAAGCTGGATGTTTCTTTGAAAAGTACTTTAAGTAATGGGGCCAATACAATGAAGTATTAAGCAACAATAGCTGGCACTACAACATTCTATTCATTGAATGGAGTTTATGTCATAAAGGATATCATTTTTACTGGTGCTCCAGGGGAGAAATATCAACTATCAATTGTTTCAGATGGAATCGATCCAGATAAGCCTGCAAACAAAGAATTACTATTACAGTAATCCTAAAATTCAACAATTATTGACTTTGATCTTAATATAAGTTTAAGAGAATGCTAGGTTGGAGAAAAATTTACAGATGCAGGAGCTTGTGATCCATGCCCAGCTGAAAAATCTTACTCATTAGTGAAAATGCTAGAACCAGGATAATGTGTTACTTGTCCAACAAGTAAAGCTGTTTGTAGTGGAGGATCAAATATTGGTCCTTAACCAGGTTATTGGAGGAAAAATAATGTTACATCAACTTTCATTAAATGCTTTAATTATGGAGCTTGTTTGTAAATAATTTTATTCATTTATAACTTTAATAGAGGGATGGTTCCACCATAAAATGATCCATAAGGCTAATGCTATACAGGCTATGCTGGCATCTTATGTACAGATTGCAATCCAGGCTATTCTTTAACCGGTTCATTTTAATGTGCAAAATGCCCAGAATATGCTTAAAATGTCTTAAGAATATTAGCCATTCTAATTGTTGGAGTAGTAGTAATTGCATTTATGATTCGCTCAACTCTTCAAGGTGCAGCAGACGTTAAGAACATCACAAGTGTTTTCCAAAAAATATTGCTAAACCATATCTAGTTGATTGTGCTTACTGCTTCATTTAATTTTAGTTGGCCTTAGATAGTAGTGAACTACTTCAAGACAAGTGAAACTGTAGGTGAGGCTTCTAATCAAATATTTTCGATCGATTGCTTTTTAAATGAAGACAAGGGATTTGGTTTAAATGATGAATCTCAGAAAAATGGTTAGAGAGTATAATAATTTGGAATCAGGATATTTTACATCAAACTTGCAATGTTTGGAATACTTCCCTTCCTCTTAATGCTCATTTCTTCTTTATTCTGGTTTATACTATACCACAAACCAAGCGACAAGCATATTCGAAAAACAAAGTCTATATCATCAATAGTATTATTGCTCTTTTTAGTTCATCCTAATATCGTGAAATCAGTTTTCAATTCATTCAAGTAAGAATTTTTCTGAATTAAAACCTATTAGTTGCATTGATATTGACGGAGACTCTAGACTAAAAAATGATTTGGAAATCTTATGCTATTCTGGTTAACATAATATCTGGTCTTTTGGTGTTGGATTTCCAAGTTTAATTGTTTGGGGTTTTGGAATTCCTTTATTTGCATTCATTTTATTGCTAAGAGATCACAAATCGCTTGATTCTTTGATAACACGTTAAAAGTATGGATTTTTGTTCAGAGGATTTAAAAGAAGATTTTACTATTGGGAGATAGTTATTACTTACAGAAAGATTTTCCTAATTTTTATTTAAGTTTTTCTTGTTTAGCAAGGAGTAATTACACAGGTAAGCAAAATAGAAATAATGATTACTTTTAGGCAATGATGGTTCTCCTGATGCTAATAGTTTTTATGTCCATAAACATAACAAAGCAGCCTTTCCAAACTAAGTCTCTGAATGAACTTGAAACTCTATCTCTAATAACTTCACTATTAAGTATCTTTTGTGGGGTATTTTTCATAGTATCAGTGGATTCAACTGATATCTAGAGTGGTCAATAAACTTCGGACTCTTAAGGTAAATTAATCCATATATTGTAAACCTAATTTAGTATATCTTACTGAAGATACCAAGATAATTCTATTTCTAATAATCTTATTTAGCAATATTGTTTTCTTCACCTTTTGGACAATAAAGATGTTGATAGAAATTCACACAATGCTTGTGAAAAAGTTTCCTAAAATCTACATATTTCTCTTTCTATGCAACAATAAGCACAAGTATGAATTGGAATTAGAGGCAGCAAATATTAAAGAAGAAAATGAGATTCTGAGAGAAAAATATCAAGATTAAATGAGACAACTCTCTGAAATGTGTGATACGGGAGAGATACTACTAAACAATAGAAATCTAGAGAAATTACTCAGCCATTTCAACAAAGACACTCTATTGAAAATAATAAGGAAAACCAAAAATCCTATTATAGAGTAAAATGACTCCAAATAAAAAAAGAGGGTATAGAGAACAAATAAGTCCTAAATTGAAGATTCTAAAATTTTGACTCATTCAGTTAAAGAAGTTGGGTTAAGAAAATAGCATAAGCACAAAAGTGATTATGAGAAATTGCAAATTTTATCTAAAGAATTTGCTGAGAAGCAAACAGACTTCTAAAGTATATCATAAAAAAATGCAAACGATTAAAAGAAAATAAAAGCTTCTTTCAATTCTCAAATAAGAACCTTAACCAATGTAGATACTGATAAATCAATAGTCTTATTTAATTAAAACAGCAGTTCTAGGTTTAATACAGACAGTTAGAGAGAAGATATTATAGTTACTGAGTCAGGATTAATAGAAGAAAGTGATTTAGATACCAAAAATGATTTTGAAAACTAATCAAATGATTAGAGTCAATAAAAACAGCACAAGGAAGATAGATTTTATTCATAGTTAGAAAATTAAATTGCAGGAATTGAGCATTAGTTTATTCCAGTCAAAACAAAGAAAATTAAAAAGAAAACACGAAGTTAGATTCAGATAGACAATAGAAGCTAAATTGATCAGTTTATTTAAGAAAAAAAGGTAAATCTTGAAAATGAAGATAATCTATAAGTATATAAAAAGCAAAAGCAGCGAGGTCCACAGAAAAAGAAATTTCAATTTTTAGCAGAATCTCCAAGAGAAGGTAATTTGTATTAGAAATTAAGAGAAGAGCAATTGAAATCTCTTGACAAGTAAATCAAATTGAAAGATGAGTCTATTCTAGCAGAAGAAATAGAAGAGATTTCTTTGAATGAATAAAACAATGAAGATAATTCAGGAAGTTCATAAGACTAGTATCCATACGAATTAGATGACTAGAAAAGCATTTAATACGTTAAACGCTCTTGGGGTGAAATATAACTTGGAAACTTTACCAATTTAAATGATAAACAGCAATAAATACGCAGAAATATGAAGAGTCAAACAAACTTTAATTTCTAATGAATTAATATTATTCTTAATTTCATAATTACATAATACATTTCATTTAAAAGAAGCCTAAGTTATCTTAAATTAAACCAAAGTTAACCTTTCAAATAAACTGTTTTATTCCTATATCATAGCTATCTTTTTTTCCAAATAGGAATAACTAACTAAGAAAGAAATAGCTAAATGTTAGGTGGAATCATGCTTGATTAAATGTTTCAATTTCTTTATGATTTTAAAACAACTAAGCTTTATTTATCTATAATCTGCGATTTTTTAAAATGCATGAATTTAAGGAAATTACAATCGGTTATAATATTTAGTATAGTTCAAGATTTAAAATATTGATATTTCAATGCTATTTACTTTTATTAAAACTTCTCGTATGGGGTTTTGGGGTTTTGGGGTTTTGGGG